TTTTTCTTCCTCAAGAGCTAGTGACAAAACAGCAATAGAAGTTAAGGCTGCTTAATTTATTAATCTGTGCAGTACCCAGATAAAAAAATTTCATGTTATAACGGGAACAGTTGCAATAGTCACTGCCTGCTTCAAGACTTTGTACTTTCTAATTTTTCCCTTCAGTAGTTATTTTAGTCATTCAGCACTTTAGAAATACACTGCAATATAACCAGAAATTTTGAAATTTTGAAATACACTGCAATATAACCAGAAATTTTGAGGCAATCATGCCATTTGTTATAAGATTCCTAATTACCTAGAGTTTGAGTTATAAAATATACAGATACAAATCTAAAGAACATCGAAACCAAACAGAGATAGCCAGAATCAAGACTTTAATGACAGATGCTGCTTTTTCAATATGTTTTTCAAATCTGATAAATGTTCATAATATTGGTGGTTTAGAGCTTTCAGACTGTTTCTCAAGGCCAGGTATTTTGGGGTAGGTATTTAGGGAATTAACCATTTTTCATTATTTTATCTTTTGCATTCAAATAAAGATACTTTAGAAGGCTGAAAAAAATAAAGAAAATATATTCTGGACTGCAGATGAAATGAACTGTGATTTTAGTCTCCCTTAGCTTTCTGTGTGAAGAGCTGTGTTGATTTTCTGCTTAAGATGCTAGACATGCATGTGGTATTGGATTCTAGCTGAGGTCTGGAATTCAAATCCGTTTGTTTCTGTGTGTTCCAAATGATGAGAACAGTGACTTTCCTGACTCTGTCACAGCACTCTCTAAAGCTAATTCTGATCTGAGTATTTCTGCCTCATATTCTCTGATCTGCTTTTTAAACAGAGTATTTCACTTAAATGTGTGCCTTTCAAACTTTTAACAACCTCTTTGAAACTTAATACTGTAAGTTATTTTTATTTACCATGCAAAATGGTTAATAATGTCTTCAATCCCAGAAGAAATAGTGCTGTTTCTGACTCAGCGACTTTTGGTTATATGTTAATCTAGCATTTACAAAAAAAGGCTCACAATATCTTCCATCATATATTGCTGTAGCTGACTCCTCACACATTCTTTCTTACTTTACCAATAACTGTATGTTCCTTTAAAAATTAAATAAATACAAATTAAAAAAAAAACTCTTTTATTTGCATCTGATGACACACAGAAATACCATATGGCGTACCATCTATTGATGGGTTCCAAATAAATGTGCTTCATCCACACTACTACCGCTTTGTATTTTGAAGGTATAATGTTAAGTTCTATTAAAAAAACAAAAACCAAGCAAAGCAAACAAAAAACCTCACCTAAAATTGAAGCATCACTTAAATATTGTCTTTTGTTTTATTAAAGTAGATAATGATTGTGGAAGATTTTAGCAAGCATGTCTGAATGACTTGTTAGAAAGGGAATGTGGCTAGGAGCATGTAATTGCTTCCAATTTTTTTTCAGATTCAAGAAAAGACTTTTTACATGTTTGCAAGGTAACACCCACTCAGTAGCTTGTGTGGAAGTGCTCGAGTTTGCAGAGCAACATAATGAGCAGCTAGTGAGGATGGCTTCCCCAGCTGCCACAGGGTTTCACGGAGTCATAATGACTGCCATACTTCTGTCAAGCTGTCATGGACTAAACGAAGGTTTTAAAGCACGCTTGGTGGGGTTGTGGGTAGCTGTTTTTTTGAATGTTCTAGAAATGCTAGCTTTTTCCTAAAATACCAAGATGCAAAAGGTGAAATGCAACTAGATCTGTTTGGCTGTGTGCAGTGATTATGAGTGTGAGACCTAAAGGGAGAACTATGGTTGTTCCAAGTGAGTCTCACCAGCTAACCTGAGACTGAATTTCTACTTAAGACAGCTGAGATACCCAAAGACCCTTACAGGCCTTTCTATAGAAGAGGAGACTGTCAGGCTCTCCCAGAATTACTGTGTGGTGGGTGATGTGGAAACAGTCTTCTAATCAAAATGTTTTTATAGTTGATCACTAATAGAATTACAAGGTTTAGGCACTTAATGTGATCTTCTTTTGCTGAAGTACAGAGCACTAACAGCTCCAGTGGAAGACAAAGCTGCTGTTCATTGATTATTAAAAGTGCTGTATAGAGGAGCTTGGAGAATTAGATTTTGGATATGTCAAATCAGCCAAACAATTTATGGAGATGTTGAGATTAGACATTCAGTGTTTACCTGTCGTATCTGTAAAATTTTATATTTTGACCTTGAAATGACATCATGTAGAAGCCTTCAGAGCAGTGAGAAATTTACTGAATTAAAGTTTAAGGCTATACATCTTGTAATTGATTATCCATGAGATTCTGAGGGGCAGGGGGGGAAATAGTGTTTGGCATGATTGTTCTGTCTAGTGCTTCCTGGTTTTGAATGCTTTGTTTTGCGACGCTACTAGTGTTAATTCTATATGTGGCTTATGTATAGTATACACAATTTTTTCTTTTTGATGAATAGCTCATTCATCAGTAGATTATTGCCTGTTTTGCATGGAAAGGTAATAATCCACAGACCATAAAACTTGAGCCACTGTTAGATAGCCCTCTATTAGTACTGATCTGTAGAAAATATATGAAACTCGGTCCAGTGGAGTGCTGCAGAGTCTGCCCAACTGATCACTGGGGTTGCCAAAAAGATGCGAGTGAATATGAGAAGGGGTGAATTCAGAGAAGGTAGGGACATAAGTTTGCAGTCTTCCTGCACATGTAACTTCTGAATTTGTTTCCCACTCAGTGGTGTGTAAACTTGCAATAAAACCAGAACCTGTACATACTATGTAAGCATAGATAGGATGCCTGTCATCTCTGCTTTGTTGATATTGTTAGGTTTGAGTGCATAGGCCATTGAGCAATCAATGAATGTTTAATATTAATCTGACTTCTTAGTAATATCTAGTCTTTGCATTTCAGTAGCTGTTCTGATCTAATTTTGCTGCTACTTTTCTGATACTACATTGATTTTCTCTATTCCGTACCATTTGATGTGCAACTCTGACTTGCATACTGCACCAGTTTGGTTCTCAGTGCTTCAGCTTCTGATTAAGAGACTTCTAGCAATCTTATCAATAGTCTGGGTCAAAATACTGAGTCTATGCTTTCTATTCCAAAGTAACTTCTTAAAAACAATTATCTATCTGCCATGTGGAATGTTACGTATCTGATTTTTAAAAACTTTTTTTTACCTTCAAAAATTCCCTTGGAAATGAATTTTCTGTTTATCAAATTAAGTTCTCCTAAGAGTGCTTGGACTTTCACATACACAGACACACACTGAACTGAAAATGTGTAAATGTGGCATACTGAAAAAAACTTTACGTATTAATCTGAATTTGCTGATCTATTCCAAAGTACATTTAATATCAAGACAGCGATCTGTGCATTGGTAATTTTTCATCCTAAGAAACAATATTAACTGTTTTAACTTTATGGAATGATGAGGTATTACAGGAATGTTTACTTACTGTATAACTGTGCCCCTGAGTGCAGAAGCATATGCAGCCTGCATCTTTGGAGTGGAAAGCCTGTTAGTTTTCCTGATTATTTGGGTTAAGGGGGTGCACAAAAAAAAAAAAGCAATCTTACCATTCAAGTATTGAGTATTTTAAAAGCCTTCTTTAACTGCCATCGTCTAAAAGCAGAGGAAAGTGACTTTTCCAATAACGCTCTTTTTGGAGGACCATATGAATAAAAGGATTTTTTGGAAGTAGATTTTAAGGAGAAAAATAAATGGCACACCAGCTTTAGTAGATTGTGCGGTACAATGATTCTACAAATTATTTCTTCACAGGAAGTGGAAATGTGATTGGAAGTGACTTAACATACAGCAACAGATAAATAACATGCAAATAAAATACATGGTATGACTATAGAAAGTGCCTAAAACTGCTTATAAAATTTTCATGGAGGCTAAAAGTTATACTGAGAAAAAGAAAAATTGTTTGTTTAGAGAAAGAGGCTTAATACAGGGAGTCAATTTTCCTGCTGTTAAAAAGTTAGCTTTAATGTACTCTTTGAAAACCTGAGCTGGGTTAAGCTACACTAATTGAAGTGGTTTATATTGTTGGTTTTGGTTGGGTTTTTTTCAAAAGCACAGCTGTCTTGCATGACTGACTTCTTTGTGGTTTTTAAACATGTATTTTGTTTATAGCAAGTAAGATCATTCTTATTTATGTTTTTTGTTTGTGGTACCTAATATTTTTTGGGAGGTCAAGCAATCTTTAGTTCCTTAATTCTTATATTTTTCAGACTATTGTCTGATTTGGTAGGTCTACTTTCTCAATGCAGTAAGTGCATATACTGTAAGTAAATAATAAGTAAGTACATAATACATATATTTCAATCTGACTGGAAATTGGAAATTGAATGGCATATAGTGGTGGTGTTATACAAGCATTACCTACATGTGACATGTTGTGAAAAGACTGGAGAAGCCTGTTTTTTCAATCAATCACCAGCATGAAAGTCAGTCTAAAATAGCAGTTGGTTTGTTTGTTTTTTTAAAAAAAGGTATATAAATGGACTTATACTTACATGGAGGTGTCTTTTTTTTTGTCTTTTTTTTTTTGGTGTTCTGTTGTCTAAAATGATGAGAAGGAAATGCGTAAGAGTCTGGGTATAAGGAACCTCTGCTAATTAGCGTGGGGAAAAAAGAACAGTGAGGTGGTTGTAAGAATGCAGGTGGAAAGACCTTCATTTTAGTTCTGTTCTTTACATGGTGTTGGCAACTTAAGCTCTTAATGGCAAAAATATATCCATTCTTGAGTAGTATAATGCTTGCTTGGCATTGTACCATCATTCTGACAATAAGGAATGTGCTTTTTCAGTATGTTATCTGGGAAAGGGAAAGCGTTCTGCTGTCAGAATCAGTGACATGTATTTGCTTTGTGTGACATTATAGTAAATACACCAGCAAACCAGCTACTGGTACAGTGAGCTAATCAGCACGCTCCTGAAAGATTAAGTCCATTTCAGTTCTGTGTTTTTTCTTTTATATGTTCAGTGACAAACAAGAAACCAGCTCAAGCGTCTATTACGAAGGTGAAGCAATTTGAAGGCTCTACGTCTTTTGTCAGGAGAACGCAGTGGATGCTTGAGCAGCTTCGCCAGGTCAATGGTATAGACCCTAATCGGGTGAGTTCTAGAAAATGAAAACTGAGCTTTTTTTTTTATAACTGATTTATGAATCAGGCATTCTTTCACTATTCAAAAGGCATCTGGAAAGATAAGATGCAGGTTTAAGTGCAAATTCTCAAAAAAGAAATAACTCAGTAGAATATATGAAATAGATTTTAATGAGAAAGATGGGAGGAAGCCAAAGCTCATAATCATTTGGGGTTTTTTCTTCCTGTCTCTCCCTACTTTTCTTGCTGCTTCTCTCTCTTCTTTGTAGAGATAAAAACAAGAGCCTTGTTTGCCTTGTGTTCAGATATAAGCCTCTTGGGGTCCGTTTTGGCATGCAGCTGTGTTGTAAGATAGAGCAGTAAGTAGAAGCAAGGACAGGAGAGGTGACTGATGTTCAAGTTTGTGAAATACTGTAAACCTTGTGTTTTTTCTCAGATCCTTCTACATTTCTTATCGTTTCCTACAAAGGGCGGTGAGGCAGCTTAGTTGCCAGTGGCACATGAATGCTGATATAAACAAAACAAACAAACCAACCCTTCACGAAATAGGTCTGGAATTTCTTTGATGTGGAATATACAGCCCACCTTGAGCTGTCTCAAGACAAAGTCATACTAACATGTAATAAGCTTGTGAATACAAATCTTCATTAGTAAACAAGCAGAATTGGAAGTTGGGAATGTGGCTCATACTATGTGATCACAAAGTGATTGTACAGCAAAATATGTTTGTGAGCAACCCCCTTGGTTTGTCAAAGCTGTGCTGTGATCAGCCACCTAAGCATCTTAAGCAATGGTGCACCAAATTCTATTACTATCCAGTACAGTCTTTTGTACAAAAAAAGGCAGCCCTTAGGCCACTGCCCTATGAAATGCAAGGGGTGGAATTATATTTTCTCTGGGTAAAGAGACAATGAAAATGAGACAGTGACAGCAATAGATAAGGGATATGAGTTTTAGGCCCTTTCCCAGCATCTGCTATGCAGCTATGTATATAACAGATACTTCAGATACTCTCAGAATGAAAGTCCTATCAAGTTCTTAATCTTAGATATGTTCCTTTCAAACTTGTCTTCCTGTGATTCCTAGTGTCATCAATTCAAAACAGCATTTACTAGATTAGATTACAAAATTATTTTTAGCAAATATTTCTAAATATATAGTGATACTTCTTCAATTTATTTTGGCAGTTGATGCACAGTATAGAGCTGGGCTTTGATGTTGTTCCAGAAATGCTCTTTTGTTCATTTTATCCAGAGCCCTAAGCAACACTTAATGATAATGCATTAAATACAATAACTAGCACTTGCTATTTGTTTTCCTTCTTTGGTTGAGCATCGAGAGCAAAACCACATCTTCTATAGTATAGTATGAAAGTAGATTTTTGTGCTGAGAGGCACGAATCCTTGTGTAATATAGAAGACATAAGTAACTATATATCTGTAGATAACAAGGATTTCTTATGAGATTCCAACTCTTAATTTTTGTTTTAAGGTATTTTTGTAATAGCTGATTAATCCTCATTAAAAATAGCTGCAAGGAAAAAAAAACAACTTCCTGCATTTTTTTTTTGCATCCAAAAACATGCAAAGAAAAGTAATCCCAGGATGGTCTTGTTTTGCACGACCTTTCTGCTTTTTCCAGCATAATAGCTTTTAAAAAGTAATAGCTCTATATCTTTCTCCAAATCATTTATAAAACTGGAATAATTGTAGTGTGTCTTTTTCTTCTAGGACTCCCCAGAATTTGATTTACTGTTTGAAAATGCTTTTGACCAATGGGTAGCAAGCACAGCTTCAGAAAAATGCACATTCTTTCAGGTTTTACATCACACTTGTCAGCGATACCTTACAGATAAGAAGCCAGAATTTATCAACTGCCAATCTAAAATTACGGCAGGTAAGTCAATCGCAGCTGGAGTACTTTGTGCAGTTGGACATGAAGTGATTTGCATGTGTGTTACTCTCTGTTGCAGCCTAATTACATCTTGAAATCATGGGTCTGAATATGCTAACTTCACAGTAGCAAACTTCTAGGCTTCAGCATTTCTCCATCAAGCACCACTTCACTCTTCTGCTGTCTTTGCTTCCCTAGTCTTCAGTTCTAGAGGCAGCATCCCCTACCCACCTTGTGAGAAGTTGTTCTCCTCCTTTTTAGCAACCTTGATTTCGATTTGTCTCTCTACTTTTGTTTGTTCAGAAACATTTCTGGGTGGCCCAAAACATTTCCCTCTGAAAGTCTGTTCTGCATTGCCATTTCCTCACAAGTCTGTTTAAAAAGTGGTTATTACTAAACTTCCCATGGTTTTTTTGGAATTTACTTTGATCTTCACAGAAATCAGTTTAGAGTTTTGTTGTGTTTCATAAATTACATATTTTAAGGTGAATTTCCAGGATTAAGCTAAAAAAGTCTGCTTAGGTAAAAAAAAAAAAGTCTGGTTAATATGTGAAATTGGTATTTACCATCCACTTCCCAAGCAACAAAAAACTACTTGTGGGGGGAGGATTTTCACATATTTCGCAAGTATTCTTTAGGAAAAGAAACCATTTTAGTTGTTCCCTTAGACTGAAACTTGTGAAAATAGTCTCCTTTTTGTCTGCTCTAAAACAGAACACTTAAAAACTCTTATACCTCCCATGTTCACAGCTGGAATAAAAAATTGCTTTTCTCAATGAGTCTCCTAACAGTTTATGTCTCCAAACTGTAAAAGAGAAGTGCAAGCTGGCTTGGGATTTTGTTTAGTTGTTTTTTCTTCTCACCAGTAGACATCAGTTATAAATATGGAGACCCTTACTCAGTTCTTTCTGTTAATTCTCCTCTCTCATAAATCTAGAATACGTTCCTGTACACTATTATCAGAACTATACTTTGCAGCCACCTTTATATCCTCTTTATTCTGGCTGTTGTTTTTGTCTTGCATTCCTTTTCTCTAAAACACCAAAGGTAAAGTTGAGCAAGAGGGAAATCATCTCCAGTTTGGTGTTTACATTTTGGCTTCTGACACTGAGACTACCACTAACTTTGAGGTCATAAGTCATAACTATTCTGTCAATCATCCTTTTAGTATCTTCTCAAACTAAGAAAAAGGCACAAAACTTTTTTGTAAACTTCCTCTCTTGTTTTTTCCCCCCTTCACATTAATAGGATTTCCTTTGTTTTCTTTTTGGTGTGGTGGAGGAGGGAGGAGCAGTTTCTGTACTGGTGGGAGAAGATATCCTCTACAATTTTTCCATTTCATATGGAAGAAATGTCCTATCAAGCCTTTGTCATCCGTTGCTAACGATGCTCACTTCCGTCCTTCCTGCTAATAAATCAGTGTTAGTAAACCACCATACATTACAGACTCCAAAATTATTCTCGTAAGCTTGACCTGTCCAAAATTGAGTTCCTGATTCAGCTGACCCAAATATTAACTTTTATCTTAAACAAAACAAAACAAATTACCACTGAGATTCATAAGCTTCTGCTTGATTTTTACTTTTTTAACACACACTAGACTCTGCAGTGTCTCATGAAGCATACCCATATTCTCTCCATTACAAATTCATAGCTAAAATAGGCTGCTTCCACCGTCCTCCCGTACCACATGGTAACTGTTTCCATATTCCTTGCCTGTCACGGTGCGTGTGCACAGACACAGTCTGTGTGTGTACACACATAATACAGACTGTGGATTCAGTACAGAGCCAGGGACTAATAAATCTCCTTGTGGATACAGTGCTTCTGCTGTTCTTTGCACTGTCAACTTTCTTCTCACCCTGGGTTACAAACTCCCTGTGGATAAGTTTTAAATTTGACAGAAGCTATAATAACTGTAAACCAAGTAGTAGTTGACCCTAAATTCCAGTGCCCTTATGTGTGTCTGCCTCATTGACCAACAGGATGTCTATCAAAAATTGAGGAGGAAAAAAAAAAAGTCCTCATTAGCACATAAGCTATATCAATTATTATAAAAGACAATGCAATAATACAATTGGAAATTGTAATATGTAAGATGAAATAGTCTGTTTAAACATCTGCTGTTCCTTTAAAAATTCAGATTGATATTCTTAATGCAATGCTAGTTTTTCTACAGTATTACTATATCTATACTATAATTACAAGCTTTATTGGTGTGTTCATAAATACAGACAAATTCTTACTCAGTTCCAAAAGTATTGTTCTAGCACCCATACTGATATTTTTTTGAAAATATAGATAATGAATTATGAAAAATAGATGAAATTAGCTTTGCAAACTAAATTTTTTTTTGAGCTGTGGAAAAATTCTTGGGTTTGCTATGTTTTCCAGCATATTTCCTAGTGTTCCAGGATACATGGGAAATATATTTCAGTAATCTTTTCATTGTCTTCAGAATCTTTTGCTTTATATTTAAATGTATTACAGTGTATTTATTTAGTGGAGGCATGCTTCTTCCACTAGTTAAAAATAAATGAACAGTTTAGGTTTAGGTTATATTCTTTTGAAGTTTCTGGGGAATGTGCAATGTAATACTCTTTTTGGATGGTTAGTCAGTTTAACTTCTAATACCCTACAAATATTTTTTTAATGAACTGTTAGAATACATACACACCCATATATATGCTTATGTATGTACTGATACGGATACGCACATCATATATGTAATATGTATCTTGTAACTAATGCATATTTTCAAAAAAGCAAACAAAAAAATGCCACCAAAGAACACTCCTCCCAAGTGGAACTGAAGATGAAAGAACTTAAAGGGTTCGTTTACAAACTTACTTATCCTATTGAGCCTTATTCCTTCCTAAAGAATAGGAGTGAAGAAAGTGAAATTCATGCTGTTCCTGTTTCTGCAGGAAGCGCTTGAGAGCTTAGCCATAAGTAAATATAGGTGTCCCTGTGGAACTGCAAACCCTCTTCATTGCCTTCCTCATTTTACCTCTTGTACATACACACTTCCCCTATGGGTCAGAGCCCTGCCCTGGTTCTTCTTTTCCAGAACCATTTTTTGCTTCATTTTCATTTGAGTATCATGTAAGGGTACGGTCTGTAGAGTTAAATAGGCTAAAGTGTTTCTGTAACTCGATTAATGACATTAGTAATTACAGCAATAAGGAGAACTGATTAAAGGTGTGGGTGCTAATTCTGAGAACAAAGAACAAATTCAAATTTGGGAAGACTGTAACAAAATTCCTCCCACTGGTATCTTGTACTAAACATTTCAAGTTTGTCTTTTGTTTAGAAGAGCCCCCTCCATAGCTTACGTGCATTCTGGATGTTATTTTGGAGAGGCAAAGCAGGCATTTTGGGTAAGAGGGGGTTTTGACTGAACTGGGAAAAACTTTCCATTTTTGTATATTTCTAGAATACAGGTTCTGATACTGGAATTTGTCTAATTTGGAGCATCTTTGTGTTAATTGTTATTCGATGGCCAAGTTAATTAGATTGTACTGCTTTTACAGCAGTAATGTAAAAAACAAAGTTGGAGGTGAGTGGTGTGCAGAAATTTTGTCATCTACAGGTTCTGTTCATTAGAACAACTTAATTCTTGACATAATATTAGGCTGACACTGAGGATGAATTTGACTCATTTCTGGATAGAACCCTGTGATACAACATTTGAAGCTCTTCAAAGATTAATTCTGGGCCTATAAGAATAAACAGTTGCTGCCACCTTTAGATACATATTAAAAATGCATAATCCTGGGAAAGGAGCAAGACCTGAGGTTGAAGGAAGATAGATCTTGCTATTTTTTTCTTTTAAGCTTTGTCCTATGTCAGTGCTTCAGTTTTAACAGTCATTCTGCTGAATTAATTAAAATATTCTTAGAAGCCCAAAGTAATGACATCTTTGCCTCTGTAACCTTTTCGCAAGGACATCTGGCAGGAGTTATTAATGGACCTTTCTTTTTCTCCTCCAAGAATATATTGCTAGTTAGAGAATGGTAATGAGTACTTCTTTTTTTATAAGCTGTAGACTCAGCTTACCCCATTTGAGACCTAGTGAGCACATAGTGGTGTTTACCTTATTGTGCAAGATTAATGACTAAAGCAGATGAACAAAATCTTGCTGTTCGAATTAGGATGGGAAGACAAACAATTGTTCCCCCTCCTTCCTGTCAAATCACAAAACTCTTTCAGTGTGACCATCCAGCCAATTCCTTATCCACTGAGCAGTCCATCTGTCAAATCCATGCCTCTCCAATTTAGAGGCGAGGATGTTGTGCGGGACAGCATCAAATGCTTTGCACAAGTCCAGGTAGATGACATCTGTTGCACTTTCTTTTATCCACCAATGCTGTAACCCTGTCATAGAAGGCCACCAAATTTGTTGGGCATGATTTGTTCTTAGTGAAGCCATCTTGGCTGTCACCCATCACTTCCTTATTTTCCATGTGCCTTAGCATAGTTTCCAGGAGGATCTGCTCCATGATCCTGCTGGGCGCAGAGGTGAGACTGACCAGCTTGTAGTTCCCCAGGTCTTTCTTTTTTCTCTTTTTAAAAATGAGGGTTATGTTTCCCCTTTTCCAAATTCCAGTTCTCAAATATGATGGATAGTGGCTTGGCAACTTCAACTGCTGGTTCCCTCAGGACCCACGGATGCATCTCATCAGGGCCCATGGCCTTTTGCACCTTCAGGTTTCTTAGATGGTCTCGAACCTGATCTTCTCCTACAGTGGGCAGTTCTTCACTCTCCCAGTCCCTGCCTTTGTCTTCTGCGACTTGGGTGGAGTGGCTAGAGCACTTGCAATGAAAGAAGACTGAGGCAAAGGAGTCATTGACTTCCTCAGCCTTCTCCATATATCCCAGGTAACCAGGTGTCTTGTTTCCTTCTGGAGTTGGCCCACATTTTCCCTAGTCTTCCTTTTATCAGTGATGTACCTATAGAAGCTTTTCTTGTTGCCCTTGATGTCCCTGGCCAGATTTAATTCTATCAGGGCTTTAGCTTTTCTAACCTGATCCCTGGCTGCTTGGA